TAAGATTTGGCACAGGGTTCCAGCTATGCCATGTTGCAACCCCTCCCCTCTCCTGAGTCAAGTGGTGGCCGAGTATTTTATGACTACTCATGTCTGAGTAAAATTGAGTAATATTGCCACTCAAGTCCACAACAGTGAATACAGATGGCTGTGCTCTCACTAAAGGATTTATTTGCACAGGATAACACGTATAATCCAATCCCCTGAGGATAACATAAATATAATATGAGGGACATAAGAGCCTATGACAATATAAACACATCTTTATCTCTGCTAGTAGTTAGTTGCAAAAGCCAAAAGATGCAGAGTTGCAGTTGTTCAGTATTGATAAACCCACCGAAGGTCAATGTTGACATGTCCCTATGGCTCTCTTACCTATATTAATGGTTTTCCAGGAATGCAAACTCCTTTAGGGCAGGTATTATGATTTTTTTTTTATGTCTATATGTCCCTACCAGACATAACCTGATAACCCGATACATAAGCTCTCAATAAAGATTTGTGGAATGAATGAGTGAAGAGATAGGCTATTTCTTCCCATCCAATGTCTTTCTTTCCTTAACATTGAGTTTTAAGCACTGACTCTTACATAGAAGGAACTCTCCAGCCAAGAATAGAACCAAATAGGATGATCCACCCATAAATAAAAACACTCTATTAAATTATCCTTTTCAGTATATTCCGTTAATGGCTTTTAAAGGAAAAAGACTAGAAAACTGTAAAATTGACTGAAGTCACATGGGGAGTAACAGACACAGACTAGAACTCAGTTCTCTTAACCAATTCAAGAATCTTGCTCTACCCACAAGCCAACAGGTTCTACCTAGTGTAACTTCACACAACCAGGGTCAATACAACTCAAGATGTTCTTCTCCAGGAAATGTCATAGAAGAGCCCATCTGATTCAGAAAGCAGCCATGTTTGTTAGAAGTTTCTCTGTGACTTTCTGAATTTATTAAGCTCTCAAATTATAGTGGTCTGTCAGCTTGGTGATATAAGAAAATGTAAAATAAAACTGTCAATTACCTGTTGGTAAAACTTCAGTTTTCTTTTAATAATTAAAATTCAGAACTATGAAGTTGCAATAAAGCAGTAAATATCAAACTTTTTTTATTCTATGTTGGATGATTAGCACAAGTATTTTAGAGCTATCAGTTCAGATCAATTCAGTTCAGTCGCTCAGTCATGTCTGACTCCTTGCAACCCCATGAACTGCAGCATGCCAGGCCTCCCTATCCATCAACAACTCCCGGAGTCCACCCAAACCCATGTCCATCGAGTCAGTGATACCATCCAACCATCTCATCCTCTGTCGTCCCCTTCTCCTGCCTTCAATCTTTCCCAGCATTAGAGTCTTTTCCAATGAGTCACTTCTTCACATCAGGTGGCCAAAGTATTAAAGTTTCAGCTTCAACATCAGTGCTTCCAATGAACACCCAGGACTGATCTCCTTTAGGATGGACTGGTTGGATCTCCTTGCAGTCCAAGGGACTCTCAAGAGTCTTCTCCAACACCACAGTTCAAAAGTATCAATTCTTCATGCTCAGCTTTCTTTATAGTTCATCTCTCACATCCATACATGACCACTGGAAAAACCATAGCCTTGACTAGACGACCTTTGTTGGCAAAGTAATGTCTCTGCTTTTTAATATGCTATCTAGGTTGGTCATAACTTTCCTTCCAAGGAGTAAGCATCTTTTAATTTCATGACTGCAAACACCATCTGCAGTGATTTTGGAGCCCAGAAAAATAAAGTTAGCCATTGTTTCCACTGTTTCTCCATCTATCTGCCATAAAGTGATAGGACCAGATGCCATGATCTTAGTTTTCTGAATGTTGAGCTTTAAGCCAACTTTTTCACTCTCCTCTTTCACTTTCATCAAGAGGCTCTTTAGTTCTTCACAAGCTATCACCTTGCTAATTTCTGCATTTGCTGAATAATAGAACACAGCCTAAAGAAGTTAGGTAGTTCATCCAAGGCCATAGGGCAGCAGTCTAAGCTTAATTTGAAATGTGATCTGGAAATACTCATTCCCTGAACAATATTTTTTAGTGCCTATTATGCACCAGGAGCGGAGCCGGAGATATAAGAATAACCAAAAGCCATCTTAAGCCTTCAGTGAGCATACAGTTAAATGAAGAAGGCTGCATCTTTAATTTGATTAATCATTTTATTAGTTTTTAAAGTTAGTTTTATTGGGTATTTTACTGAGGCACTAATTTGCAATTTCGTTGTATGTAAAATGGGGACAAAAAAAGCAATTAACTCAGAAAAAAAAGAAGATGGCATCTTTATCAACTAAAATTATAGAGTTATTAAATGGTGTACGAGAACATATATGACATGCTCTCTGAGCACTGAGAAGAAAACAAATTCTGCCTGAACAGCAAAAATATCACAGAGTTGGTCACATCAAGAGACCCACACATGTGAATACTTCTTTTCCGTTTTTAAAAATCATTGCCAGGGCTAGTACTAAAACCTGAGGAACTCTCTAAGATCCTTAAGCTCTCCATCTCTGACCTCAATACTCATATTTTTTAAGAGAAAAAGAAAACCCTGACAGAATCAAATCAAAAATCTCATCAGAAAAAAAAAAAATCTCATCAGATGACAACTGATTTTCTGGCTGTGGGGCTGTTATCATTTAATCAATTTAATTAAATGAGATTAAATATGTAAAGCTCTTAGCCTAGTGCCAGGCAGATAGTATGTGCTCCACAAATTTCCCTATCATTCATTCATTGTTAGGCAAGCATGGGGCTTCCTGGTGGCTCAGTTGGTAAAGAATCCGCCTGCAATGCGGGAGACCTGGGTTCCAGCCCTCGGTTGGGAAGATCCCTTGGAGAACAGAACAGCTACCCACTCCACTATTCTGGTCTGGAGAATTCCATGGGCTATATATATAGTCCATGGGGTCGCAGAGAGTCAGACAGGACTGAGCGACTTTCACTTTCTTTCCAGCATCGTTATGACTTGGATGGAAACTCTCAAACATGTATCAATCCAGGTTGTGAGATGATTCTAGAATGAAAGCAAAGTATCCAAGGAATCTTTGGAGGAATAGTGCTCCTCACGCCCCACACTTCCTCTCCCCCATCTGAAAACTCTGGACGTTCTTAAACTTTGACCTTTTTGTCAACCAGTCTCCCACAGAGCGAACCCTGTCGGCCCTTCATAATAATGGCTTTTGTCATTTCAAAAGATCTGCTCTGAGAAGCCAATCGTTGCACTATTCCAACTGCTCCCTGGTGAGTATGGGGGGACAGATAGCACGTCTGCCGCGTGGCCGGGATATGATCCTAAATAGGAAACTCCCATCACTCGGTGACAATGTAATTTTTCTACGTCTCAAGTTCACACTGGGGTGTCCTAGGGTTGACTCTCCATCTGCTTCATTACAATTAAGCCCTTTAAGTTTTATTGTTTTTTAAGTCTGCAAACACACGCACACATAAAATAAAGACACGGTTCTACAGGTTATGGCTTGTTTGAAAAGGGCTGCACAGGTCCCAGACCTGCTCCTTCCCGGACCCTTAACATACTTCCCGGGAGGGTGCAGGCAGACGGTCCCTTCACCTACCGGCAAGCCCCCAGTGCTGTGCGTTTCCAAAGCCACGCCACCCTCTCCCGGGAAGCTAGCAAGGAAAAGGCAGCAGCTCAGGTGGCTGCAGGTCCACCCGAGCAGGGCTGCGTCCCGCCGGGGGCTGCGGCCGCCCCCCCGCCGCGTGCCCGGGTCCGCACCCGCGAGCCGGCCCCAGCCCGCACCTGCGCGGAGAAGGCTCCCAGCCCCGCGGCGCCCGCGGCTGCGGCTCTGATCTGAAGCGGGGCAGGTGAACCCTCCTTCCTGAAGCTGGATGAATAATGAATGGAGCCGGGAGGGGAAGCCGAGAGCCCTGCACGGTGGATTAAGCCGTCTTCCTCCGCCCGCCGGCTCCTTTCCACCTTCCCAAGCCCGGAGAGGCGACTTTCCCGGCGACTCCTAGCAGGTGGGAGTTCCCGGCGCCTCGCATCCCCGGGCCCGCATCCCAGGACCCCCAAACTCTTGATCTTTTCTTATCGATGCATTTATTTGCCCGAGCTCACATCGCTTTTGCTATCATGGCGACAATTCCCACCGTCTCCTTTCTCTCCCATCTCCAGGGTTTTTACACGTAGACTGGAGACCCGGAGGAAAACTGGGAGGCAGAGGGCGAAGTCAGAGAATGAAGCTAAACTCTTATTAACCACTTCTTTTCCGCGGAAGCGGCAGCCTGGTGCCTTTCTGTACTGGGGAGATTTCTTTTAGTGTGATTGAACTGTCCACCTCCAGAACACATTCTAATCGGTTTATAAAATCTTAATTGGACTTTACGGGGAGACTCACTGGGAAAAGGAGGGCGGGAGAAGAGAGGGGTTTTAAGGAGCCGGATTTTATGTTTCATAGGAGCATTAGTATTTTTACGCAGGTAAGAGCAGGTGTTCTCTCCTCACCTACGCTCCATATAGTTGCTTTCCACTTAGGGGCTCCAGGGAAGTGGAAGAAAGAGAATTCAATTTCAGGGATAGCACCTCCATCGGCCACCCCACCCCCAAATGCGCTCAGGGCAGAGAGGGAGTGGGGCTTGGGATCCGCGTGCAAAACAATCAGGAGTTGGATGGAATCTTCTCAGAAAAAAACCCACTCTAGTTCCCCGGCCACCCACCTACCCATCCCCAAAAAACTTCCATCTGACTCACAATACCATAATCCGGCTGAGCTTTTAAAACAGCGCGATCACACGCGCGCGCGCACACACACACACACACACACACACACACACACAGCACCACTCTCTCACCTTCAGAATGATGAGGCAATGCTGCAAATTCCGCCAATGCGAGAGCCATCCCGAGCCACACTTTGAAGACACTCATCGCCGCCTCGGCACTCAGGCTGGAGGAGCCCAGCTTTCGGCATCCAAGAAGCAGTTATCAGCCGAAACGCAGGCTTCCGCGCCCCGGGCTGGGCGCACCGAGAATGGGGGCGGCGGCGAGCGGTCACCTCCGGGGAAACGAGGCGACAGACCGGCGGGAGCGACACTCACATCAGCCCCGAGGTGCCAGGGCGGGAGGGGGTTTCAGTTCACTCCCAGCCGGGGAACAGCGCGCCCAATTCTCCAGCCGAGCAGGGCGCCAACGCGGGCTGAGCTGGGAGAATAGAGGAGGCAGGGCGCACAATGTTCCCCGAGGCCAAGTCTCGCAGGAAAGTTGCCGGTCACCGGCCGACCTGATCCCCCAGCAGTTCCTTCAGGCCGGACCTATCCGCTCCCGGGTCCCCGGTCGTGGAGACCCCGGCGCGTCGGCTCCCGGATCCCCAAACCGCAGAGACCCCGGCGCAGGTTCCTAGGCGGCACCTTTTTAAAGTTCGCTTGACACTCTCCGTCGGCGCCGCGTCGGCCAAGGGGGCTGCCTGGAGCCCCGAAAGACCCAGTCACCCCTCCTTCTGGGCTGGGCCCCCAGGGCTCGACGGACCTCACCTCCCTGGGAGGCTCGCAGGAAACTTTGTGCGGCGCTGCGGGAGGCTCCCGGGACTCGCCGGTGTTGCGGCCGCCCGGCGCCTCCTCGGGCTGCGCTGTCTGCCGCAGATCGTGCGAACGCTCGGGAGGAAAGCCCGGGGGTGGCGCGGGGGGACGCGGCTGCTACTTTCGCGCCCCCGCCGCCAGCCGGGATGAGGAGAACTGCCGGGCGCGGTCTCTCCGCGCCGCCGGCCACCTCTCCGCACTGCCGGCCACCTCCGCACCGTGCGCCCGGAGCCGGTCTGCAGGGTCGAGATGCGATTACGGAAGCGGAGGAGGAGCCATCATTTTAAATGCAAGGAGGAAAGAGCTGGAGAGCCCGGAAGGGACCCCCGAATTAGAGCCACTCGGACCAGAGAGCCCGGAAACGCACAAAATCAGGCCCCCTCTGGAGCCCCGCGTTTAAAAGACACACGCTCCGCCTCCCTCCCCTCCTTCCTCTCTCCAGAGCTCAGAGTGAAAATGGACCCAGCGACTCCGAGCTTTGGCAAAAGATTCCTGAGAGTCACGTGGAAAAGGGAGAAGCTAGGAGGGGCGGGGGTGGGGGGCGGTGAGAGAGAGCAACCTGATCCCCTGATTCTTTCGGCTGGAGTTCAGATTGCCTTTGTCTGGGGCGGGATCGAGAGTAGTCACACGAGGGAGGGCGAGAGGGGAAGATGGCGTGGTCCTGACTCCTGCAACAGCCGAGGGGCCCGCCAAAAGGATGCACACCCCTCACTTGGGAGGCGGTATGCCCACCTTCAAATGCCCCGGCACGGCTCGCACCCTACACCCCGCCACTCCGGCTGGACTAAGAGAGTGAGGCGGATCTGATCCATCTTCCTCGCTCTGGGACCCCCGGGTCGTCGCATCGTGGGTTTACCAGCAGCCTGGGAGGATCTCGGTGTGTGTGTGTCCGAGGCCGGGCCTCCCACAGCGAGTGCACCCCCGCCCCCATCCCTCCCCGAGAGAGGTTGTCAGTGGAACACTACACGGCCTCGGCGCGGTGCCTTCAACTGCGCCCCCAAATGCCCAAGACTGGGAAGGAAATGTCCGGGCAAGGCAGACTGGCCCAGGCACTTGAAGAGGGTAGGTCATTCCGGCTCGGGACTGAGTGACGGCAGCTGATTTTTATAGGACCAAATAAAAATAGCTGATCTAGGGTTAATTATTTGATGAAGACTAATTGCAACAGAGTGATGCTGTCTGGATTCTGATTGGCCCAAAGAAGAGACGATCGGGGCTCTCAGGTGACCTGAGATGGGTGAACCTGTCAGAGGGGAGTTATCCCAGCACTGAACCCCTGAGCTGTGAGACCGCAGGGGCCCCCACTTATTTCCAGTCTTTGCCATCTCCATGTCCGTGGATGTTTACTCTGCACTGGCGCTGCTGGAAATGATTCACTTTTCAGAATAACTGGATAAATTGTAACTGGCAGATCCCTGTAACTAATACTATTAGCCAAAGCGAAAGGAAACGTCTGACCACCCAGCACTGATATTTGTGTGTTCACAGGACCCAGGGATGGTGCAATTCACCCTCAGTCTCTCATGGTCCGAGGTGGTCACAGGGACTGAGACAGTCACCTTTGGACCTGAAGCACATAGTCATTGTTGAGTCGCCCAGTCCTGCCCAACTCTTTGCCACCCCATGGACTGCAGCATATCATCAGGCCTCTCTGTCCCTCACCATCTCCTGAAGTTTGCCCAAGTTCATGTCCAATGAATCGACAATGCCATCCAGCTGACTCATCCTCTGACACCGTCTTCTCCTCCTGCCCTCAATCCTTGCCAGCATCGGAAACTTTTCCAAAAAGTCGGCTGTTGGCATCAGATGAGCAAAATACTGAAGTTTCAGCTTCAGCATCAGTCCTTCCAATGAAGGACTAAGCATGAGTATTCAGGGTTGATTTCCAATGAATAAGTATTCAGGGTAGATTTCCCTTAAGACTGACTGGTTTGATTTCCTTACTGTCCAAGGGACTCTCAGGAGTCTTCTCCAGCACCACAGTTCAAAGGCATCAATTCTTCAGAGCTCAGCCTTCTTTACCATCCAGCTCTCACAACCGTACCTGACCACTGGGAAGACCATACTTAAACTATATGGAACTTGGTCGGCAGAGTAATGTCTCTGCTTTTCAACACACTATCTAGGTTTGTCTTAGCTATCCTGCCAAGAAATCAAACATCTTCTGATTTCATGGCCGCAGTCACCATCCACAGTGATTTTAGAGCTCAAGAAGAAATTCGTCCCTACTTCCACCTTCTTCTGCCCTATTTGCCAGGAAGTAATGGGGACAAATGCCATGATCTTAGTTTTTTCTTTAGTTTTAAGCCAGCTCTTTCACTCTCCTCCTTCATCCTCATCAAGAGGCTCCTCTTCGCTTTCTGCCATTAGAGTGGTATCATCCACATATCTGAGGTTGTTGATGTTTCTCCCGCCTATCTTGATTCCAGCTTGTAACTCATCCAGCCCAACATTTCTCATGATGTGCTTAGCGTTTAGATTAAACAGACAGTGACAGCAGATAGCCCTATCATACTCCTCTCTCAATCTTCAACCAATCAGTTGTTCCATACAGAACTGCTGCTTCTTCACCCACATACTTCTTGACCCCTAAGTTGCTTCTTGACCCCTAAGTTTCTCCGGAGACCAGTAAGATGGTCTGGTATTCCCATCTCTTTAAGAGCTTTCTGCAGTTTATAGCAGAGAGCACATAGTAAGCACTCATTAAACATTTGTTAAAAGAATGAGCAAAATAGGAAGAACCTGAGAGCAGTGGTCACTTAGATGGGGTTGGTTTGGAAAATCCCCTTTTCCCAAAAAAAGAATCCTCTCCCTTTTTTTATTTAGAAAGTTGACATTTTCTTTATCCCATGGAAAGTACTGTGAAAACTCAGCTTCCAGCACACTCTGTCAACCACGTTACCATCCTAATGCCAACTTTACAGAAATTTTGTAGCCACCACTGACTAGGAGTAACCTAGACAATTTGCTCTCTCAAGAACCAATTTAACTTTATTTTTAAAAAGTCATAGAGAAGTCTCAATAAGTCATGTTATTTTGTGCTTCGTGCAAGTATATCAGTTTTTTTAAAAGGAAAGGAAATGAAGGTAGGAGGGAAGAGGGGGGCAGGCCAGGGGAAGGGCACTACCATTTACCCTGAATTCATCTATGCTGTATTTATTTCTCACATGCTCAGTCCACCAGCAGCCCAAGACAGGGCCACACACTGGCCTACTCACATCATCTAATGAGACAGAGAGTTGATAGGCCCAGAGTCTGTGTACTGAGATCCTTGGATGACCCAATGGTTAAAAGAGTCAACCAATAATCCAGTAATATGAGGCATATCTAGTGTCTCCTGTGGCCACTTAAATTAAAATATTGGTAAAAGAATTATATTAACCTATTTCATTATGGTGGGAATTTAGTAAGCATTTTTATGAATATGCAACTAATCATAACCAACTTATGTCTATACATTAACTTCTAAGTCTAAGTGCTTCATGTCAACCACCAATGCTTCCACTGACAGAAGTTCAAGAGCCAGAGAAAGCTGAGTCTACCTCCTCAAGGCTTTTTATTGATATGTCTTTTGTGGGTGGGTTGGGAGGGCACACCATTTGCATGCTTTCTGGGTGGCGCCAATGGTAAAGAATCCACCTGCAATATAGGAGAATTCAAACCCTGGGTCGGGAAGATCCCCTAAAGAAAGAAATAGTAACCTACTCCAGTATTCTTGCCTGGAGAATTCCATGGACAGAGGAACCTGGCAGGCTACAGTCCATGGAGTCACAAAGAATCAGACATTCTGGACATGCACACAGTTCTATCATGTTGCACATGGGATCTTTGTTCCCTGACCAGGGATTGAATCCATGCCCCTTGCAGGGAAGTCCCTCATTTGTACATCTTGTTTTGACATCCATTAACATGTCTCACAAAATCTCCTTGGCCCATCCTGCTATCATCTATCAGCATGTCTCTGGCTTTGTGACTGCCCATTTAGGGGCCAAGATTTATCATTCCTGCTCTAAATGATAGTATTACCAACAATGATAGTGAACATATACTGACTACTTTGCGGCTAACACTGTATACTTGTCTATTTAATCCTCCAGTACTTTTGTGAGATAGGTACTCCTATGTTCATTTACCCAAGAAATTTACCAGTATGTTCATTTACCAGAGAAATAACTGATGCTGATATTTAAATAATCTGTCCAAAGTCAAGACAGCTAATACATGACAAAGCTTATTGGAATAAGCAACTCTAGCTGCAATGACAGGCAACCCCTAAAATCGCAGTGTCTGGAAATAATGCAAGTTTATTTCTCAATCACATCCTGGCCCCTATGCATTTATAGCTCCTGCACATCAGCCCCTGGGCATTGATAACCTCTTATTCCTAAACCATCGTGGAACTCTGCGCTTGTGCTGCTTCTGCATGAGGGCCAGAGAGCAATAAAACAGGCACTGAAATCCCTAAGTGCCTCCGCCGTTTCTCTCAGAATCTATTGGCAAGAGTCACCGTAACCCTAACCTAACTGCAAGGGGAGCCGGGGCCATAGAGGAGCATGTAGGAATTCAGCGAGCATTAACACCACCTCATTGCAGAGTCTTTGCCCTTAACTATCTTAATTATTCTACCTTACATCCTCTTGCCCGCTAGCAAGGCCCCAGATTGAACCTTCCCTTCTTCAGTCTCTAAGTTGTGTCCAACTCTTTGTGACCCCATGGACTGCAGCATGCCAGGGTTCCCTGTCCTTTACCATCTCCTGGAGTTTGCTCAAATGCATGTCCATTGAGTTAGTGGTACTATCCAAACATCTCATTCTCTGTTATCCGC